AACTAAAGAAGGAAGAGGAAATCAAACTAAAGAGCATAGCTTTATATCCAACGGACAAAGAACTCAAGGACAAGCTTTATAATAAGATATAAATAGAGTGATTACATTTAAAAGAGAACAAGAAGAAGATAAATCAGTCACCTGCGAAGTCCCTTTACAATAGAACTCAGAAGCTCCAGGCTGCACCTATGCAATTCAGGAAGTTCTAAACAAATCAAGTCCTGTCTCATGGCAGTCATAAAAGGGGAGGATTGTGAGAATGAGCCATCGACCATCAGCACTCTCTTAACAAGAGCTACCAGTGAACAAACAGGCACAGAAACCTGCATAGAGCACCAGACAAACTTATGCTCAAGGTAACGAGTTCATGTATCTCCCTTAAAAAATACAAGAAATCAATTCGGTCATTTACACATATTTGATATCATAAACTAAACGAGGCATATCACCTGAACGGGATAAGCATCAGTAAGCATTGTGCAACAGCAGGTCATCAGGGTAGAGACTCTTGAAACTAATACTTGTTCAGGCCTCTTCATTGCCTGATCTGAGTTTTTTGCTGATGCCGTTAGCCCTCCTAAGGGAGGTGGGGGGTCCTTCCCTGGAGGAAGTAACAACCTCACTACCTCACTACTTCTGGCCTCTGCAACAGGTGAATAAAACATCAGCACCTAAATATTCAATCAAAATAGCAGTTCCATCTCCAAATTAAAGCAACTGTTACCTTCTTCTAGACCTTGGAACATAACATTTAGTTGATTATTTATGAATATCAAGACCTTCTGCATCATCAGTGACCAGCTATCCTCATCTCCTCGGGATTTTGGAAGTAAGGCCAAGCCATGAGCAAGTTTCTGCAGACCAAGACAAATTAACTCTTTTTGGATTGGCTATAACAAGCCAACCTAATCAAGGTGTTCACAGCTGCATAACTTGTTGGAACCACAAATCAAGGTGTTCACAGCTTTCAGTTATGAACTTAATCTTAACTCATCGGCTTACAGCTCAATTTTCTCTATTACTACAATCAACACGGAGTTAAACTTCTCACAAATTATAAGGGTTCTAAACTGATCATTTGTGAAGTTGAGATGGGTTTGGATTTTTGCTAATTTGAGAGTCCCTGACTCAGTGCCACACCATTTTGACTCATACTTTCTGAGTTTACATATCTCTAACTAAAATGCGTGCGCCATGATACCATCTTGTTTTACATTCAAAAGATGATTAGTTTAAAAGCATATGATCAAGTGTGACTAATGATTGAGGAGAAACGTAAATGTAGAATGTGCTCTATAATATTTTACCATGCTGCTGGAAGCAAGGGCAGAGACCCGATTGACCCAGGCATCGACGGCCGACTTCCAGCCGTCACTGAGCTTTTGGTCAGTGGAAGATGGGGCCTATTCCCAGAGAAGACAATGAGTTTTAACGGCAGAGACGACGTGAGAGAGGTCCGAAGGGTTTCTGAAGGAGTGTTTTTCGTCTGGGATGTATTCCCTAAAAAGTGACCGCAGGAGCTGAGGCTTCAATGCGACACCGCACATGCCCTAAATGTGATTACTGGCCGCCATTGAAGAGAGACTAGAGAGCAAAAACGATAGGGAGCTTATGAAGGACGAGAAAAGAAAAGAAGAGAAAAGAAAATATAACTTAGGAATGAAAGGAAAAGAAGGGAAAAGATGTATATTTGGTTTGGGAGTTCAATGAAAGAAAAGAAAAGAAACATCTTTCCCTTAGTTGAGAGTTGAGAGATATGGAAAGAAAAGATTTTATGAGATTATAACTTTACGTATTTGCCTTTTAATTTTTAAATTAAAATCCAAATATTAGCTTTCTTGTTCCAATAAATAGAATATTTGGACAGGATAAAATTCTAAAACAATTGCATATGTATTCTCACAAGATGAATAATAATAAGTTGAGTTCTCAAATGGTGTAGGGCACATTTTTTATCCGTTTCATAATTATTAGTTCTATTTATAAAAAGCTAATCGTCTCTGATCAGATGATCAGAGTCAGGGGCTGATCCCATGGATGATAAAACTCCTAGAGGCATCAGTTTTTGTGAAGTTGTTTGGATTGTTGATTTATAACATGAAAACTGGAATCCATGAGAAATGAAAGTTCTTGCTGAATCATTTTATAATTTGAAGCTTACGTAGGCAAATAAACAAATATATTGTATGCATTCAAATTTTATATTCATGCATTACCGCTGGAGCTTACACGTACCATAACCATGCAAGATATAATCACAAATCAATACTATAAAAATCAAGAGTTCATTGACAAGAATTTTATGATAGAAAATGAACAACAAATTTAAAATATAAACAATAACAATCTATACATAGAAAAAATGCTTTTTCACGATTTTCTAGAGAAGATTGAGCAAAGAAAGAAAGAAGAGATTGAGTTAAAGAAATATCTTTTATTATTGAACTGTGGATGAAGAACAAAAAAAATCAAAGAACTAGTTGGAAGTATAGAAAGTATAGAACTCAGAAAGCTTTGCATTGATGCTTTTAGAAATCAACTCTAGGATATATCGGGAATAATGACATTTTGTATCAGCTTTTAAAGGATAAAATTGTCATATTAAAAATATCCTTTGGCGCCCAACAAGTTTCCATCATTTTCCTCCCAAAATTGGGTGGAAAAATTTTCATCAATTAAAGGAATTCACATTCGTTCATTTCGTTTCTCTTCCGTCCTTGTGAAAACTCCTAAAGGAATGAAATGATAGACTTTCCCTCAGGATACTTTTGTTTTCTGTCTTTTTCTCTCAATTCAAATGAAGCCTAAATTTGAATCAACGGACGTATAATTTGAGGGCTACAATGGTCATTAGAGATAAGGTTGTGCATTGAAATTGAAATTGGTAAATCGAAAGTTTGAAATTAGAATTTTTTGAAATTTTTTAATGAATTTTTCCGGCTGAATTCGATTTCGAAATGGCCAATTCCAATTTCGAATTTGATGCCGAATTGAATTCGGAATTCGGTGAATTCCGAATGCGCCGAATTCAAACCTGTTCCTTTTTTTTCTTGTTAAAAAAATAGAAAAACCTGTTCGAATTTAATGACTTCCACAAGTGTTGTCCCCTTGGATTCCACAAGTCGACTGTTTCTCTTACTCAAATTCAAGAGGAAAAGGTAAAGAATGAAGCTGATAACATAACAATTAAGCTACACTCAAAACATTTCTAGTCACAATAGCACTCCCAAGCGCGGAGCATCAAAGAAAGAAATTGCTATAAAGAAATTAACAAAGACCCTGTTTCTTTTGAGCTTATGAGAAACCAAGGCCGTTTCTCCCCATTTTACTTATCCAAAGGGGCAAAACTTCCAACTACTGAAAAGGTGGCATTTTTACTAACACGACCTAAACGAAAATGGTAAAAAAGGATGGTGGTTGTGTATAATGAGGAGAGAGAGACAGATCTAAAGAGGGGTAAGGTAGGAGACTACGTCAGATAATACAGAGGAAGTAGTTACTTTTTTTTCTTTTTTTTTTCTTTGTGGGGGTGGGGGTAGTTGTTCAAGAGCAATTGGGATTTCTACCAGGGTCTCCAAAGTAAAAGTAATGGCCCCAATCCCCATTGCTACTAGTCTGGACATCATAGCAGTTGGATTGCTTAGTAAAGGTGCCAAGACCTTTGGGAGCCTTGAGATTGTTGGAGCTATCAACCACTTAAACATTCCTGAAATAGCTTGCTTTGTCCTTGAAGATGAAGGGCTGAAGATGAAGAGTGAAGATGGCGTGAAGATGAAGGTGAAACCGAGAGTGAGAGAGAGAGTAAGCTGACAAAGTAGGAAAGCTGGGCTGTTGACTCTCAATTGAAGACTAGCAGGCGGTGGAGGCCGAGAAAGGAAGGTGAGACAGTGAGCCTTAGTTGCGAGACGATGAAGAAGAGGCGGAAGAGTTAATAGATTAGGTTTTGCAATTTCAATTTGCACTTTTGCTTTTTTATTTTTGTTAATTGTTAGATGTGTCAGTATTCATTATGTTATATAATATATATTATATATGTATTGTTAAAAAATATTATATTATATATAAATATTATTATTCGAAATCAAAATCGTAGTTCCCATTTCGAAGTCCCCACATCAAAATCGGTAATTCCGATTTCAAAAATTATATTTTCGAATTCGATCAATTCGAAATCGGAATTATCGAATTACATTCGGAATTATCGGAATTTCAAATTAATTTTCGAAATCGATCAATTCGAAATCGGAATTATCGAATTACATTCGGAATTATCGAAATTTCGAATTTGAAATTCCGAATTCAATTGGAAAAAAATTGGTAAATCGAAATTTTTCAAATTTGCACACCCCTAATTAGAGGTTTCCGGATCGAATCCAAAAACATGGTACCCGAGAATTTTAAATCTATTTTACCACCCAATTCAATGTTCATTTCTAATTATTAAAAAAATTTAATTATTATTTGAGTAAATCTTATATACACTGACAGTGAATACACTATCACCGTTTGATTCATGACATGTTTGTAAAAACTAAATTTCAAATTCAAATTTTACATAGTTATCATTCATCCAATGCTAACAGTGTATACACTTAGTATAGGAAAGATTAATCATTATTATTTTATAACCTCTAAAGTTTCATATCATTCCGTAAGAATTAACCTACACAATTAATGAGAACTTATAAATTTTTTCACCCGAATTTTTTTTTATCTTACTTTGAAGCCAAACCGGTAAATTTCATTTGATATAAAACCTCGAGCTATTTCTAATTCCTGACTTATTACCAACTATGCTACATTTTGATGCCAAAAATAAACATTTACGTACGATCAAATGAAAATCACTGCAAGCCCCCTACGAGTGGTCCGACTAGCTCTGTAACCTAGTAATTACCAGCAAGTCCCGTGATTGATCACTGTGTATTACTTTCATGTGTATCCTTGAAACAAAGCCGCAAGGTTGGAATACTCCTAAGTGGAAAAAAGAATGAAAAACATTGCACGAAGGACCACAATGGTTCTAAAATAACGAGCATTCCTACTGATGACAGAAATTGCAGATGCAAGAGAGACACCATTTTGCACCAAATCTTTCTTCCATACAACAGCTACATTCAAAAATCTCATTTGCAGTTTCTTTTTAAGTAATCTAAATATCGGAAGCTGAAAATAATCCGCCGTTTAATACACATTATCCTGATGATCCTCTAGGTAACTGTTTTTACAACAGGAGGCAGAGTCTTCAGAAGTGACATCGAAGGCCGTCGTACGGTGTGATTGAGCAGAAGCATCAGACTTAGAAGCATTAGAGCTCCAGCTTGATGAGCCGTGCCAAGTGACACAGGTACGTATGACAGAAGAGTTGATACCCCCAAAGTGACCTGCTGACGGAGCAAAATTTATTTAACAGATAAATGTAAAATCATTCATGCGTGTCTAACAAAAGCAATCATGCCAAGGAACTGGCCGAACAATTGTGATAAAGCTCACCAACAAAGATTGCTAGAACTTAGCAGGACACACCTGGAGAGCAGCCATGCCTACTATACTTCCGATCAAGGAGCGTATGGCAGGATGCAGGTCCAGTTTCCGAGTTGAGAACCATAAGCCACCAATTGCTGCTAAAGTCGTAGTGGCAAGTATACGATGATCTAGCTATTAAAGAAATAGTCTTGTTATTAGAAAATTTTGCATACCAGCACAAAATATGGATTCTAACAGAGATGAGATTTCATATTTGCATTCGGTCAAAGAACTAAAGTTAGTTGCTTTGCATCATTCAAGAACATGTGCATTAGAGAGCCAAGTTTGTCATACAGTGAATTGAGACAAATATCACACATAGTAAATACTTATGCAGCCAGGCCGTAAAACTTTAAGATTTTTAAACCTACATTGCTTGAAAGTTTTCTCATAGCATCTTGAAATAGTCTTGTTATCAGAAAATTTTGCATACCAGCACAAAATATGGATTCTAACAGAAATGAGATTTCATATTTGCATCCGGTCAGAGAACTAAAGTAAGTTGCTTTCCATCATTCAAGAACATATGCATTAGAGAGAGCCAAGTTTGTCATACAGTGAATTAAGACAAATATCACACATAGTAAATACTTATGCAGCCAGGCCGTAAAACTTCAAGATTTTTAAACCTACATTGCTTGAAAGTTTTCTCGTAGCATCTTGACTACAGTAAATCCGCCTGTGTATCTTCCATCTAGAATCATTATCAATGTCAATGTCAATGTACCAGGTTGAGTACTTGATTCACACTTCTATTTCTCGTCCTGATGATCCCAAAGGAGAAGGTCAACATTATCTGAGAACCATCTCTTCAATGTGCTAAATTTTGCTAGAAGATAAATGTAACATCAAATGTCCAACCTTTTCTCGTGTCAGTGTCCACGTCATTTCATTTCATAAGTAGATTCCTACAATAAAACTATTGATAATAAACAAAGACAGCACACTTCCTAATGATAATAAATAAAGTTCACCAATTCATCTCGAATCCAATAATATTTCTGCAAATGTGAAGTCTGACTAGAAACTGAGAGAGGTTACCTGCACAGTTGATGTATTCTCAAAGAAGTTTCGCAGTAGAGGCTTCATACTGAAAATATCTTCTGGAACCCATGTATCACCCATCTTTGGGAAAGTGTTAAAGGCACGACCCTATTGATTTTAGGTGCAGCCACAAGTTAAAATGCATATATATCTGACTCATAAAACACAGAGCTTGTCCTTTGATTATTGGCAAACATATCAAGTTTCAAAGAAGCAATAGGTACATACAGCATCATTTCCTGCAACAAATGCTCCTGAGACAGCAGTGAATCCGACAAGGATGCTCACAGGGAGGGCAAGTCGCTTAACTTTTGCAGCACCCTTAACCCAAGCTACTGACTCAGCAGGAGGTTCATGCATAACAACTGAAAGAGCAGTCCAGAAGAGCCCACTGTAAATTACAAATGCTGAAGTAAGATGGGCCGCTAGGCGGTAAGGGCTGACTCTTGGTTCAGCATATTCCGATGCGGGGTCCTATAAAGGAAAAGAAATTAGACCTTTTTGAATAGATATGTGTCAGATATTAATCATTGCAAGTAGAAAACGCAGTTCTTGATACCTCTAAACCACTTTTAACCATCCACCAACCTATTAGTCCCTGCCCAGCACCAAGAGCAAATAACCCAGATAATCTAAGTCCAAGTTGTAGAGTAATATAACCCTTGCGAAGAAAGTAAGAGAATGGCAGAGCAAACATGATACCCAGTGCTCTTCCCCACATTCGATGTGCATATTCCATCCAATAAATGAACTTGAAATCATCAATACTCATCCCTTTGTTTACACTGCAACAAAACAAAAATAAGAAATGCAGCGAAAAGTGCTCCCAAGTGAACATGACTAACAAATATTGTGACTGACATAAAAATTAATATCATCTTTAATGATCACTAGAGACCTAATCAACAAACAAAGAGCACAGAAAATTCATCAAGACACAAAATACCCTATGAGAATATCATATGCAGCAAATAAATAAATAAATATTAGCACAAAATGCACCAGGAGTTCCAAAAAGTTAATATTGTAAACATGACTGATTCTAGCAAAAGTAAAACAGCAACTAATTTGAACTACAGAAGCATAAAATGCTACCTCAACTGACCGTTTATATTCAGGTGACTGTTTATATTTCTCAAATTCAACCAGCCAATCTTCATCTGTTAGAGGAGGAAGCCTCCCAGTGAATTTCCAGTCAGTCATTGAAAGCCCCGATCTGGTTAATCGTGTCATACCCCCAAGCACCACCATACTGAAGACCCAAGCAGCAGATCCAAAAAGCCATATCCCAACCAACTTCTGGGCACGAGGCCCAGCAGTTACAAGAAGCCTCAAACCATCCTTCTTTTCTGTAGACGCAGTTGCTGCAGTGGATAAATTCCTAAAGGATGGTCTGCAGAAACCCTGAAACCAGAAAGCTGGGTTAGCAACCATGATCGTTAGAACAAAATGCTAATAAAGTCCATTGCCTTGTCCATGAAACGAAAGTACAAGATCAAACCTAATTATAGCATCTAAGTTAAGATCTTCCACCCATTAATCAAGCCAAATTTCCCAGTTTTCAAACTTACAATTGAGATTTTAACAGCATCCTATCCCAGAGGTATTAAAGACCAAAGCAACTAACAGATCAAGATATGGCTAAAACCTGCAGTATTTCCATGTTGCTTCCTATCAATATGACTAAGAATTGAAACAGTTCATATCAAATTTGAAGGAAAAATGCCATCTTCTTTTTTTTCACAAAAAATCCACTGCTTCTAGTTGTCTACTAACAATCTTAACATTAAGCTGCCACCAAATTCGAACAAAGGGATGATCTTTAATCAATACCTAAACATGCTAAACCCATTATACCAAAAAAATTTTCGGAATAGACATTTCTGTTTGTCTATAAAATACCAAAAAAAAGGAAGGAAAAGAAAACGAAAAAGGGCAATAAACATTTATGTTGGTCTATAAGATACAAAAATAAGCTGATTACACTTGAGAAGAGGAACGAGAAATGAACCTTATGATTAGGATAATGACGACGAAATGCTTTGAATCCCAAGTTACTCAAGCTTCTGATAATGCTGGTTTGGCTTGCAGGAATAAGATCAAAAGAAAAAGAAGAGTAAGTTTTTGAGTGGATCAGCGAGGAGGGCTCATTGGAAATGCAAACCCCTGATCTTGATAATCTTGAATTTGAGGAAATTTGATTAACTATGCTTTTAGTTTTTCTGAAAGCTGAGATAAGTCTGCTCTCCATCATGTTTTCTCCACCCTGCTCTCCACTTCGTTCTGTTTAGAAGATTTGAATCAATGGGGTTTTAGGCAATGTTTTAAAACCCGGACCGTCAAGCGAACCGGTGAAGTGAAAGGGTCGAGGTTCAATCGGTCGGACCGGTTCAACCTCGGTTCAATAAATAAATAAATAAATAACATATATATATATATATATATATATATCCCCTAATTTGCATCTCCTATTAGTGTACTATCTACATGCCTTTCCATGAACAGCAGAATTAGATTAAATCTAAATGCAAGTTTCCTAGCTCAGGAAACACACACACACACACACATCTATGCACAGAATAAGATATAAATGCTAAACTACAATTAACATAAGAGCAATATCCAACAATTAACACACACAATTAACATAGTTATCCAACTTACATGTCCAATTGTCTAAATATTAGAATTAACAAAAAACAATACAAGTCTAGAAAACAATCAAAAGGTCCAAACAAGTCCAATTTATAAGTCGTCATCATGATAAGTCATCTTGACAACAAAGCTTCATCATTCATTCCGGGACAACAAAGCTTCAAAAGGTCCTTTATTAAGCTTTTGTTTTTCTTCCATTGTCTGGGATAGTCTTTAATTCTATGTTTGGAATCTGTTTACAAGTACTTAAGTAGGTTTGACCAGGACAGTTTCTTTAGGGTTGTCAGACTAAGGCCAATTGCAGAATCATTAGCCTCAAGAACATGGTTAGAATCATCCACGGTTAGAATTGTTCTTAGTGATGTCAAAAATATATTCATGTAACTCAGAATTTTTATACCTAGGATAGAATTTATATTCTAACATTCTTGGTTACACCTGGCAGCTTTTGGTTGCTTCTCTAGTATTCAGACTCCTTGTACATGTTTGGTAGTAGACAGCAGTCTTAATATGTAGACATAATAGTTTTCCAACTGTAGGTTGTGCATAATTTAATGAGCTCTAATTAGTCAACAATAGATTTGGTTGTTTACCTTTCAGAAACAGGAGGTCACGGAATGATTTAGTAGCATGTAAACCTAGCAAGGGACTTATATTATTTAATAAGTGGAGTAGCATTTGAGCTTCTGTGAAATACACTAATGGTGGATTGTAGAAAAGATGATTTGAAGAATATACACCAAAAGGACAGAAACCAGATATGTATAAACATTTTGTCTTATAGACAGAAGCAGAAAAAGCTTTGGCTAAAGTAAGAAAAGAACCTTGCTGTACAGAAAATCAAATTCTGTTTCATCATAGAATCTCTGTGTCACTGCACTTTGGTTAATAAAGTTTTCTAATTATAGGATTAAGTGTTTACCTATAACAGCTAAAGATTGAAAGACTGGCAACTATGATAAATGGTAGTATGAGATTATTATTGAAAGAGTCATGGTTATTATATCTATGTTAACCTGTTATATTAACCCGACAAGACAAACAAGAAGATTTGTTCAACAACTGAAAAACATGCTTTGGAAGATTGTGTCAAATTCTCACTTCACTTCACCAAGTAACCAAACGTGTCAAAAATTCATCCCAATTCGCCAAATGGAAGTACTTGAAGCAAGGGAAACTTTCTACATGCTTCAATATCAAATTATAATACAACTCCACAATGACATGGTTATCAATTACTGAATTAAGTGACAGAAGGGACCATATGATAGGCTGTCCAACTGAAAGACCGAGGACTTTTTTTTTTCTTTTTTTTTATCCAGTTTTCAGATAATACCAAAAGAAAAAGACTTTTACTGAGGCCGTTGGTGGAATTTAGCAGTGAAATACTGGGAATTTAGCAGTTTAGTACCAACATCTGGTACCTGACCACCAATTAATTGACATTTTTGATTGTCGGCCAAAAACATTAATAGGGAGTCTACCTCCCAATTAAGTTCCGGTTTCACCAGCGGCGCAACTCAACAACAGGGCAACCAAATTTTCTAACGAGTCAAAAAAAAAGGAAAATTGCAGGACAAACAGACTGACTAGAGGTGTGCATCGAAATCGAAAGCGGTAATTCGGAAGTTTAAAATCGGAAATTTTCGAAATTTGGCTTCAGTTTTCCCGACCGAATTCGATTTCGAAATGGCTAATTCCGATTTCGAATTCGATACCGAATTGAATTCGGAATACGGTGGATTCCGAATTCCCCGAATTCTTTTTTTTTCCGCCTCTATTTAAGAGGAGATTTGAAAGCCGTTCCTCCTCCAACCAAAACAGGTTGTTAACCAGAATCATTAACACCAATTTAATCCACGAACATGTCATGAACACATCTAATCATTATCTTCTATCTATTAAAGTTCAACCCTGCTGAGTGCTGAGCTTCAGAGATCTCAGAAAGAGCACAAACAAATGCCAATTGTAACTGAAAGTCATAGAACACCTTCAGCACATTCACATATTCCACGACTAATCAACTTAAAAATAGGCAAACACCCTAATTTACATTGTCATATATAAATTTAGAAACGGGCAAACTGTCTTTTGACAAATTTAATGTTCGCAGCCAGAAGCATGAACAGAAAACACATACAGTGCACAAAAATGTACAATGGCGTCTGCCTGCTGGATGGTTTTCAAGATGTGCTTGGAAAACACATAAGTGAAAAACAGAAGTTGAAAAACAAAAGTTCAGCACCTCTGTTGCCCCTCTGTTGCTCCGTGTATGTCAGGGAGAAGAAGAAACAAAGAAATTAAAAAGGTCAAATGATACAATTTGTTAATTAACACTCAAAACCATTTTTTGTGCGTATTAGTACCCAAAGAACGTATTTAACTAAGAAAAAATAAGGATTGAGCATGCCATTGAAATTATTGATGAAAAATCACTGGCGTAAGAAACATAGCTGAAAAAGGTGAGTAAAAGCACTGGCGTACCTCAAATTGTCCGACAGTCTTGAATATGAAGGCTGATGGTGTCTATCTCTGTCGGACTTGAAGAACTGGTGTTCAATTTCAGGTGTGATGCAAATCACGAGTGAAATCTCTAAGGTGAAAGAGGCGATGGAAGCGGTGAGTAGGGGTGTCGGTGAGAGAGTAAACTGAGTCGGTGAAAGAGAGTGAGAGAGAGTAAGCTTCGTCGGTGACTCGGTGAGTCAAGCGGTGACGAAGACAGTGACGAAGAGGCGATGAAGGAAGAGGCGGCGCGGCAGAAGCTCAAGGTGAGTTAAGAGAAATTAGGGAAGCTCAATTTGTCGGAACTTGGAACCTCGATTTCAATTAGTAAGCTTATTATGTTAAAAACTATATTATATTATAATTATATTTAAATATTATTATTAGAAATCGAATTCGAATTTCCTAATTCGAATTCCTAATTCGAATATCCCAATTCGCAATCGGTAATTCCAATTTCAAAATTTTTATTTTCGAATTTGACCCGAATTCGAAAACGGAATTACCGATTTCAGTTCCGAATTACCGAAATTCCGAATTCAATTCGAAATCGGTTTCGAAATCGAAATTTTTCCAGTTTGCACATCCCTAAGACTGACAGCTTATCTAATTTGAGGACAAACCAAAAAAAAAAAATTGATTTAGGCTGATCAGCTTATAATATAATCATTTAGCTGCTGCTGCAATGACAAGTTAATAAGGATCGTATGCCCAAAAATTACGGCAGTATATATACATTATACAGAGGGCCGAGGGGACGGAAGGGCAACCAAAACCCAATAATCAACAACGAAAGGAAAAAAAAGGGAAAAATGATAAACAAACCTGGAATAAGCTTGAGGCCTTTCAGGAGTGCAATAGTAAATCTTAAATGAGAATCGTGAAGGTAGCAGCTGAGATGAATTGAGATGAATTGGTGAATTGATGTCCCTAAACCTAAAGCTGAGAATCGTGATGTCCCTAAAGCTGTTGATGAATTGATGGGTAGCAACTGAGAAATGAGAATCGAAACAAATGAATTGAGTTGAAGCGGCGAAGCGAAGAGTGTCGTGAAGGCTGAAGACTGAAGAGTGAACTAAAGAAGTGAAGATTAGGTTTAGACTTTAGATAATTGCGGTCAAAATTGAAAATTCGGTCAAAAATTGGAGAACCGCGGTTCACGGGTTGAACCGGTTTAACGAGTTTTACGGTTTTTACAATTTTGACCGGTTCTTGGTTCAGGTCAACAAAGACTATGAATCGGACCGGACACATGACCAGTTTGCGGTCGAACCGGTCGGTCGGTCCGAGTTTGAAAACATTGGTTTTAGGGAGTTTGGTGTTTTGAGTTATAGAAGAGTCTCGTGGCGAGGGTTTAAGCCTTTATGGCTTTTTATCTTACATTACATGACCGTTTTCTGAACCGCGACAAGGGAATTTCGAGCAATAGACAGAGGATCCACAAGGGCAAAGAATGAAGCAGGCTTGCTGCCTATGGAGCAACGAGGAATTAGCCCGACGATAGAATTAATTCTCATAACAAAAAAATAGTCCAAAAAGCAGAATTAGACTATGATGCAGGTGCGGCAAGTCCAGTGCGAGTCCTTTCGCTTTATTGTAACACGGTGTGACCAAAAAAAAGGGAGAAGAAAAACAGCAACAGAGTAAAATAGTCTATTATTACTTAGCATTGGATACATTTGATAAAACTGAAATCTGAAATTTGAATTCATTAATTTATTAAATTGTTAAGTATTAAATCTAATACATATATGTGCATATCACATTCAGTGATACGTGAATAATTTATTGCTTAATTTTGGAAGCAATTTTTGCCTAGAAAATTCAGTGTCAGTTAATTAATTCAGATGTTCAATTTTTGTTATAAAATATTAAATTTAAGTGTTAAATTGATTTATCAAATAGGGTCTTATTTTTTTTTTTTTGAAAAAAAGTTTGAATGCATTTGATCCGATTATCCTCACATATCAAAGCATACTTTCGAGATCATGGACCCTTATAAGTGTTTTGACAAATTGTCCACCAGCAACCAACACAGCACTCACATCACAATCTTAGTTGTTACTCTCAAAAGAAAATGCTTACGATCAATCCTCGTCGGTCCTAATTCCTAATCTCATCACAATCTTAGTTGGAGAACCACGGTTCACGGGTTGAACCGGTTTTAACGAGTTTTATAGTTTTTACAATATTGACCAGTTCTTGGTCCAGGTCAACAAAGACTATGAACCGGACCGGACACATGACCAGTTTGCGATCGAACCGGCCGGTCCGGTCCGAGTTTGAAAACATTGCCCGTGATTGATCACTATGTGTTACTTTGATGCGTATCCTTGGAACAAAATCGAAAGGTTGGAATACTCCTAAGTGGAAAAAAGAATGAAAAACATTGCATGAAGGACCACAATGGTTCTAAAATAATTAGCATTCCCACTGATGACAAAAATTGCAGATGCAAGAAAGACACCATTTTGCACCAAATCTTCTTCCATACAACAGCTACATTCAGAACTCTCATTTGCAGTTTCTTTTTAAGTAATCTAAATATGGGAAGCGGAAAATAATCCGCCGTCTAATACACATTATCCTGATGATCGTCTAGGTGACTATTTTTACAACAGGCGGCAGAGTCTTCAGAAGTGACACCGAAGGCCGACGTACGGTGTGATTGAGCAGAAGCATCAGACTTAGAAGCGTTAGAACTCCAGCTTGATGAGCTGTGCCAAGTGACACAGGTACTTATGACAGAAGAGTTGATACCCCCAAAGTGACCTGCCGACGGAGCAAAATTTATTTAACAGATAAATGTAAAATCATTCATGCGTGTCTGACAAAGGCAATCATGCCAAGGAACTGGCCGGACAATTGCGATAAAGCTCGCCAACAAGGATTGCTAGAACTTAGTAGGACACACCTGGAGAGCAGCCACGCCTACTATACTTCCGATCAAGGAGCGTATGGCAGGATGCAGGTCCAGTTTCTGAGTTGAGAACCATAAGCCACCAATTGCTGCTAAAGTCGTAGTGCCAAGTACACGATGATCAAGCTGTCAAAGAAATCGAGTCTTGTTATCAGAAAAGTTTGCATACCAGCACAAAATATGGATTCTAACAGAGATGAGATTTCATATTTGCATCTAGTCACTTTACATCTTTCAAGAACATAAGCATTAGAGAGCCAAGTTTGTCATACAGTGAATTGAGTCAAATATCACACAAAGTAAATACTTATGCAGCCAAGCCATAAAACTTCAAGATTATTAAGCGTACATTGCTTGAAAGTTTTCTCATAGCATCTTGACTACAGTAAATCTGACTTTGTATCTTCCATCTACAATCATTATCAATGTCAACGTACCAGGTTGAGTACTTGATTCATACTTCTATTTCTGTCCTGATGATCCCAAAGGAGAAGGTCAACGTTATCTGAGAACCATCTCTTCAATGTGCTAAATTTTGCTAGAAGAAAAAGAAAAAGAAAATAAATGTAACATCAAATGTCCAACCTTTTCTTGTGTCAGTGTCCACATCATTTCATTTCATAAGTAGATTCCTATAATGAAACTATTGATAATAAACAAAGATAGCACACTTCCTAATGAGAATAAATAGAGTTCACCAATTCATTTGGAATCCAATAATATTTCTGTAAATGTGAAGTCTGATAGAAACTAAGAGAGGTTACCTGCGCAATTGATGTATTCTCAAAGAAGTTCCGCAGAAGAGGCTTCATACTGAAAATATCTGCTGGAACCCATGTATCACCCATCTTTGGGAAAGTGTTAAAGGCACGACCCTATTGATTTTAGGTGCAGCCACAAGTTAAAATGTGTGTGTGTGTGTGTGTATATCTATATTATAAAATACAGAGCTTGTCCTTTGATTATTGGCAAACATGTCAAGTTGCAAAGAAGCAATAGGTAAATACAGCATCATTTCCTGCAACAAATGCTCCTGAGACACCAGTGATGCCGACAAGAATGCTCACAGGAAGGGCAAGTCGCTTAACTTTTGCAGCACCCTTAAGCCAAGCTACTAATTCAGCAGGAGGTTCAGGCATAACAACTGAAAGAGCAGTCCAAAAGATCCCATTGTAAATTACAAATACTGAAGTAAGATGGGCCGCTAGGCGGAAAGGGCTGACTCTTGGTTCAGCATATTCCGATGCGGGGTCCTATAAAGGAAAAGAAATTAGACCTTTTTGAATAGAACGTGTCAGATATTAATCATTGCAAGTAGAAAACCTAGTTCTTGAACCACTTTTAACCATCCACCAACCTATTAGTCCATGCCCGGCACCAAGAGAAAATAACCCAGATAATCTAAGTCCAAGTTGTAAAGTAATATAACCCTTGCGAAGAAATTAAGAGAATGACAGAGCAAACATGATACCCAGTGTTCTTCCCCATATTCGATGTGCATACTCCATCCAATAAATGAACTTGAAATCATCAATACTCATCCCTTTGTTTACACTGCAACAAAACAAAAATAAGAAATGCAGAGAAAAGTGCTCCCAAGTGAACATGACTAACAAATATTGTGACTGACATAAAAATTACTATCACGTTTAATGATTAGTAGAGACCTAATCAACAAACATAGAGCACAGAAAATTCATCAAGACACGAAATACCGTATGCAGCAAATAAATAAATAAATATCAGCATCAGGAGTTCCAAAAAGTTAATGTTGTAAACATGACACTAATTCTTGCAAAAGTAAAACAGCAAATAATTTGAACTACAGAAGCATAAATTGCTACCTCAACTGACCGTTTATATTCATGTGACTGTTTATATTTCTCAAATTCAACCAGCCAATCTTCATCTGATAAGAGGAGGAAGCCTCCCAGTGAATTTCCAGTCAGTCATTGAAAGCCCCAATCTGGTTAATCGTGTCATACCACCAAGCACCACCATACTGAAGGCCCAAGCAGCAGATCCAAAAAGCCATATCCCAACCAACTTTTGGGCTCGAGGCCCAGCAGTTACAAGGAGCCTTAATTCTTCTTTTCTGTAGACGCAGCTGCTGCAGTGGATAAATTCCTAAAGGATGGTCTGCAGAAACCCTAAAACCAGAAATCTGAGTTAGCAACCATGATCGTTAGAACAAATGCTAATAAAGGCCATTGCCTTGTCCATGAAACGAAAGTACAAGATCAAACCGAATTACAGCATCTAAGTTAAGATCTTCTACCCATTAATCAAGCCAAATTTCCCAGTTTTCAAACTTACAATTGAGATTTTAACAGCATCCTATCCCAGAGGTATTAAAGACCAAAGCAACTAACAGATCAAGATA